GTAAGATTGTTCTTTCTTAAAAATGTTTGTTTTATGACCTAATTGAAATTTACCTTTATTTTCCATCTTAAGAAAAAAAAAAAGTAACGAAAATTCTATAAAAAAATAAGTAGCGTAAATTCCAGAAAAATAAATAGCATAAATTCTAGAAAAAGTAAGTAACGTAAATTCTAGAAAGAAGTAAGTAACGCAAATATAAAAATATGTAATGTAGATTCTATAAAAATAATCACGTATATGCTAGAAAATAACATAATTCTAGAAAAATAGTTAAGGTAAATTCTAGAAAAAATATTTGACGCAAATTCTAGAAAAATTAATAATGAAAATTCTAGAAAAAAATATGTAACGTAAATTCTAGAGAAAATAATGTAAATTTTAGAAAGAAGTAACGAAAATTCGAGAAAAAATAAGTAACGTAAATTCTAAAAAGAAGTAACGTAAATTCTAAAAAGAAGTAACGTAAATTGTAAAACATAACATAAATTCGCAAGCATTTTGCTCCTCTATCGTTATTTCAACAGCAAATGTTCAGACGAGCACTATTTATCAGTACCACAAGCTCAGACCTTTACGGCCCTACAATGAATCACTCTCATTGGTTACGTATTCATTTGGATCCACCCCAATGGTTTCTTCCCAAGAGCCGCTGCTTCGTGAAATAGAAGCTCGGATATTTTCCTAAACACTACAATCGTAACATCTTCGTTATCTATCAGCTATTATTATTATTATTATTATTATTATTATTATTATTATTTCCAAAGTTTTCTAGGGCAGCTTCTGATTTGTGCTCATACCATTTGTTCGTATAACCGAACCTAATGTATTTGCACAGTTCCCAGGATATTGCCGTTCCTGTTGTTTTGATTTTTTTTTTTTTAATCCCTTTATGCATTTGTCCTGAGCTGAAATAATAACATAATTTTTCTCTTTGTTTTCTATGTAACCTGTTTCAGTCTTTATTTCTTTTGTAAATTCTTTATTTATTTATTTATTTATTTATTTATTTATTATTATTATTATTATTATTATTATTTGTGGATGTTATGTTTCCTACTCTGTATCCTATAGAGCCAGGTCCAAAATATGGTCCTTAAGCCCTATAGGAGAATTGTCATTTAATTGATAGCACTTTTCTTAGTATATGGGATGTTTCTATCAGGGCGATCTTCTGGGCAACTTGTATGTTGATGTTAACTGGGACACTGTTAGTAAAATTGTCCATTCCTTTTCTCACGAGGCCCAGAGCTCCGATTACTATTGGTACAGTCTCAGTCTTCATTCCCCACATCCTGTTAATCTCAATCTCCAGGTCCTTGTATTTGGACAATTTCTCGATAATTTTCATGGAGCTTTTACTCTCAGATGGCGCTGCTATGTCAATAAGCATACACTTCCTGAATTTCTTGTCTTTTATGATAATATCAGATCTGTTGGCTTTTATTTCCCTGTCAGTTTGATTGACATGTCCCAGAGGATAGTTACATAATTATTTTGGATAACTGTGTCTGGTTGGTGGACATACCATCTCTCAGTGGTTTCGATTTCGTGCTTCTTGTATATCTTTCAGTGCGCATATGTCGCTACCTTTTTATGTCTGTTTTATCATATTTTTGGATCCTGCATTTCAGTTAAGTTCCATCTTTGATTATGTGACAGTGATAAGATCTTGTTGCAAGGATTTGAACCTGAGCTGCAATAATTTTTCTGTTTTTAGCTCACCATCCTGTGATTTCTGGTCCACATCTGTTTATTTTGAGGTACTTGCCATGCAATGCCTTGTCCTCCCAGTTTTTCTGCAATTTAATTTGACTGTTTTTTTTTCTGTTTTACTCGTTTGGCATAGATGGCATTCGCTTTTTTTTTTTTTTTTTTTGCTGCTAGGGTTTCAGGTATATTAAACTGTTTCTTGAAGAGTGCAGCTCCTTTGTTGATGGAGTGGATTTAGGGTCATTTGTTTTTGTGTGGTATGCTTCCAAATCATTGTGTGGTTGTTTTTATAGGTTGAAGTTGTATTAGATTTTTTCTTTTTTGGTACATACAGCCTTCAACATTAGATTTCAGGTGGTGCATCCTTTTGGGCAAGCATTTTTTAATGCCATTCACTTTTCGTTCAATAATTTGAAGGTCCTATTTATTTTGGATATAGCTAAGGTGTTGATTCTACTGCATTTTTTTGCCCCCCCAATTAAGTTCGCTTTCTAGTATCAAAACGCACTATCCTATAATATTCTTTTCGGATTTTTTCATAATTGAATGTTGTATTCAATATCCTTCATTAATTCATAAGATTTTGTATTTCCTATCTTGGTCTATTATTATTATTATTATTATTTTATTATTATTTTTTTCTGCTATGGACACATTTTACCTACAAGTCTGCGGAAAAAGACCTAAGGCAGGTCGTGGTGTGTTGTTATAAACAAAATGTTAATTTTTTTTTTTTTTTTTCTCCGATGAAGTTGCTGCGTTACATAGACAAAGTTCTCCTTAGTGTGTGTGCTGTACTTAATAAGACAATTTTCTGTATGTCTCTTAAGCTGGGGTTTCAGGGATTCTTTCAATGTGTTGTTTTGTTCCATTTTTATAATTCCAAACATGCACCTATTACCACTGGTATTATTCTTGTTTTTTTTATTTCCACATTTTTTCTATTTCAATTTCCAGGTCTTTGTATTTTGATAGTTTTTCAAATTCCTTGGTTTGCTATGTTACAATCCGCTGGACAAGCCATATCAATTAGTAGGCAAATTTTTTTCTGGTTTTTTTTAATGTGTCCGGCCTATTTGCTTCAATTTTTCTGTCTGTGTGGATGGTATAATCCCATAGAATGGTGACATCTTCTATTTCTGTAACCGGCGCTGGCCGATGTTCATACCAGTGTTTGCTTACACATTTTCCAAAGTGTTTGCACATTGTCCAGTGTAAGTATTGCCCACACTCTATCGTGACGATTTTTATATTCATTTGGGGCAAGTATAGAACATCCTGAGATTAGATGGTCTATTGTTTCTTAGTATTTGTCACAGAACCTGCATTTTGGATCCACATTATTATGTATGATATTTGCCTGAAAATTCCTAGTGAAAAGACTCTGGTCTTGCGCTGCAAAAATAAAGCCTTCAGTTTCAGACTTTAATCCAGATGCTCGTAACCATCGATGAGTATTAACTTTATCAACATTGGGTTTATTTGCACGTTCTGGATATTGGCCATGCAGAGGTTTGTCTTGCCAGCGTTGTTTCATCTGTTCAAGGGCTTTATCCTTGGCTTTTTTTTTCATATCTTTTGCTGCAATAGTTGGTTCTTGGCTTCTGTTTTGATTTACTACAGAATCTACTAAATGTAAATGTTGTTTTTGTATTTACTGCCTTCTTTTATTATTGAATATTTTTTCTTTTTCTGTTTTCATGTTGTTTCACTAATTTTATCATCCAGTCATTTTGTTGTTTCCATGTAAGTTAGTAAGCCAATAGTTGTTGTGTTTTGTATGACAATTCTAGCTGAATAAGACCTCTTCCACCTTCTTTACGGGGTATGTATAGACGGTCTACATCAGCCTTTGGATGATGCATCTTATACTTAGAAAAAGCTTTCTTGTTTTAGAATCCATTTGTCTGATGTCATTTTAGAGTCCAGTTCAAGATGTTGAAACTATATTGGACCACTGGGATGGCAAGGTTATTAATATCCATAATTCTGTTCTGAGAATTCAATTCAGTTTTTAATACCAGTCGTATTTTCTATAGTACTCTTTACGCACTATTTCTTTCATTTTCTTATAATTTAAATTCCTTCACTCTCATTTACACCTAGATACTTATAAGCTTCTCCTTGTTCTAAATATATTTTATTGTTACAGCAGGGTCTAAACTAATAGAGGAAGTTTGTTGTAGCGATCCTCGTAAAACTGTAGCTTTAGCACATTTATCCAAATTGAATTTCATTCCAATGTCTTCACTGAAGCATTTTACAGTTTGCAGAAGACCTTCCAGCTCATTGTCATTCCTAGCATACAATTTTAAGTCATCCATGTAAAATAGATGGTTTATTTTCTTTTTGAGCTATTTTAGCAACCGCATTCTGTCTTGTTAAGTTGGCTGGTTAATGCTATAAGTGATATGCAAAATAATAAAGGAGACAAAGAGTCAAAAAAAATATTCCTCTATTGATGTTTTTTTTTTTACTTATAGGTTCCATTTTTATGATTGAGGTAAATGTAGTTTTTTATATCGACATACATTGTTTGATGAAATTGATGATAACGGGTGATACCTTGTACATTTTAAAGACTTTAAGATCCAGGAATGTGGTACACTATCGAATTGCTTTACGATAATCTATCCAGGCAATACTAAGATTTTTTTTTTCCACGGAAGCAGTTTTCCAGGATCATCCTATTAATTAGTAATTGGTCTTTACATCCATAGCAACCTCGTTTAACCCTTTTTGTTCAAGTGGTAGTATGTCATTTCTTTTCCAAGAAGAAATATGTCTGTTTTGTTAAAATAGATGTTAACAGTTTGTATGTTGTTGGAAGACATGTAATTGGTCTATAGTTTTAGTCGGAATATTTGTGTCACTATTTTTGGGTAAAGAAAGGTTAACTCCTTTGGTCATCCATGCAGGAATTTTAGTTGGATCGGTAACCATTTTTGAAGTTCTTTGGCGAGTTTTTTTTTATTGCTGTATTTAAATAATATAGCCAAGAACTGAAAATTTTATCTATTCCTGGAGATTTCCAGTTGTGTTTTTTTTTTCAGTGCACATTTAACATCTTCTTCTGTGATTCCCGCCCATGTCTGTTCTGGTTTATTTTTTGTTCGTTCTAACTCTTGCGCAATCCAATCTGCCTCTTCGTTTGTGTTCTTTAGGGCAAGCCCATTATTTTTCCCCAGAACTGTATAAAAATTTCTTCCATTTTAAAATGGACTGTCACTTCAATTCTTTGTTTACCTATTTCCCTGTAAAATTTCTTTTTATCGGTTTGAAAGATC